TCGTCTGTAGAGACACGTATGCATGGACGAACTTAATTGCATTGGTAAGCTTCAAGCTCAGTCGTGCTTTAGTACTATCATGTAATTCAGTTCTGTGCGTTACGGTGAACTGAATTCGTGGTGCGGCGCCCAGTTCAAAAAGGACAAAAGCGTGCAATTGGACGGCCGAACCGAATAATCGCGACTTCCGCCGGGGACTGCTGTTTCTGCTGCGCTGGCTGCTCCCCCGTTTACCGGAACGTGGGAGTCGAAGTCGCTGTCGTTATTGTAGTTTTGTACTGCTTCTGGCGGTGTTGTTTCAGACATTGCGGGCTCAAAGACAGTGTCGGCACTTCGTGGTCGCCAGATAATAACGCGGTAACTTCGGCTCTGTAAGATGATGCGCGAAGGATGCCGACTGCTTTTCGTTTACTTAATTCGCCCGTCGGTGTCAGAGCCTCCGCCGGCTTAGACTTTATCAATGGAAATATCAGCAGAGCCAGCGGTAGCAGTAGCAACAGCAACATGTCTTACCTGCACTCGTCGACGTAATCATCATAAGTCATGATGATGGTTACCGATGCGATAATCCCCGCAGTTCCTTACCGCGTCGCTTACGAGATGACCCAGCGTGTGGCTAGTGTGGGCGCATCCGTTCTCAGGCCAAGCTTGCTAGGCGCCTGACAGCGGAAGCTCGCCTCTAGCTGTTTCCGAGATGAATACTTGGACCGCCACGCTACGGTTTTTCTGCCATTGCTCCTGCTACCGCTGTTGCTGTTGAATCGACGGTCCCGAAGACGAAGGAGGAGGCGGTGGCGGAAGACGGGACATCCGCTGGCCGAAGCGGTGGCAGCAGCTACGACGCAGCAGCAAACGTAAAATCAGAATCAGCTGGAGGCTTTGCCATTCTATCGGACGACAGGTCATCGCATGTTCAACCAGCGGTACTTGGTTCGTATGATTCAGACGTTGACTTGGAAAGAAGAAAGTGTCTGTCGACGGCAAGAACGCTTCACCTAAGCATAGGCTCGTTTCTTTAGCTTGCTCGCTTGCTCATTGAGCTGAGTGACGACTACGACGTGATGTCCTTTCGGGCAGGCGTCATGGTTGGGTGGGTGGAACGACAAGCGCCCGCCATTCCTGTCGTAGTTAATACAGTCGGCTTTTCGTTCGGTGACCATGAGCACCTGTGTTGAAGTTCTCGAGATGCATGTGAGGGACACAGGCATATGCAGAAACAATGAGCGCTTCAGCCGTCTTTCCCACCAAAACAAAAATCTAAGTGTTAGACATTGCAGCAATGGTGTATCCCATTGTTCGCAGTGTCCATGAAGCACGTTGGTAGCGAGGATAACTCTCATTTTCGCCAGTAGCACTTGGTCTAAGATAGTACGCTCGAGCTGTAAAAGAGGGACCACTGCTTACATTATGATTCGAGGATATGGACACTTCGTTTTGAATCGCCACATCCGTTACTTCGAAAAATGCACATATGCAGGACTTCGTTCAATTAATCGCCTAGGTACGGTTTTCTGATACGTGCACTGTTGGCCCACATACATGTTATGTAGGCCTTGTTTTGTAGCTTGAATATGACGTAAAGCCTTCTCGCTGATGATCCTAGAAGGACATGGTTGTTGCAATGGCATGAAAATATCCATCGTAGAGCTTTTTTCCCAAGCCGTTTATATCGATACGTAGTATGTACGCAGGATCGAGGTATGTAGTTTCTGAACTTAACGTTACGGCATAGTATGACCAAGAACAATAAATGGAAATGTGAACTCCCTACTGTATCCAAGGGTTCAGTCGCAGCAGATTGGCTGCGCTAAAAAAGATGGAGGTAACATGTCGGTGGCCTGAGCGGGCCTCTCCTTCGAACTGCCATACAATGAACTACATTACGAGTGCCGCTACCGTATTGCCACCGTCGCCTCGTCCGTTGAAAAGTCACGCAACGTATTCGCTATCAACAATCGCATCGACCCGTTTCGAGCGACCCAGCCGCGATTTGCTATGCGCGTATTGCCTCAGTGAAGCCGACCAGATCTGTTTAGACTCCCCCACGTCCAGCCTGGCTAATGTATACTACAGCAATTCTCAGCCAAATAAGTAGGTGCTGGGGCAGAAGGCCGGAGGCCGTCGAAGCAGAGATGTGTGGGAGCCTACTACTGAACCGTGTAGCCTATCTCTCCCGTTTCCCAACGATGCGGACCGTTGATTTCGATCTTGCCACCGATCTCCTACGGTGCCTGTAATAAATAAAGACGTTTTTATTTTTTGCGCCATAGGCATCAGAGTACGTCGGCATCGGACTGATCTGATATATTTTCTTAGAAATCGATAAAGGTGAGGATAATTATATGCCAAATCTGTGCGAGTATCAGACGGCAATATTTAAATTTTTTGTAACTTAGCCATAACTGCACTTCTTATTGTGACGTATTTCACTTAAATTCAAATTTCAGAGATCTGGATCGACGCATCAGTAAATAATATATAGTGCCCTTTTATTATCTAAGTTATGTACACGCTCATGGTCCGACTTCGATAGCGCAAGTAGTTTACATTGAATTCTTGCAATGATAGTCAATACGTGCAGAGATTGCGAACCTGTAATCGTAGCTTATATAAGAGAAAGCTTTCGGAATCTCTAGCAGATCACTTAGTATTAGTATCAAGACACATCAGATACGTTCGGAAGTTGCGATAGAAAAATTCGTGGATACTTCGTAAGGTGCAGGCCTACACTCTGTTGTCCAGCGTAGAACTGTCAAAGATCAACGGTCGAGTTTCATGTCCGTTGAGTGTCGTCGACATTGCTTCACACCTATCAGACTCAGGCTCTATAAGTGAACTAAAGCTCTCGTCAATCTGCATCCATTGCACCCATCTATCTGTTCGCTGACTTTTGTTATCTCGTTACAGCCTGCGGCTGCTGCCATATGCTTGAGTCATAGACAAATAGTCGGATCGAGCTTACCGAGTTTACTAAATTATCTACGGTCAACATGAATATTCGTAAGCAAAGAGTACAGCTCATGATCGTCCCACACCGACAGCTGGGTTTTTCTTCATTCATATTTCTGCATATAATAGTATATAGATGGTATATGACTGTGGCAAAATACAAACGGCACATTGTGTACTGAAGGAAGATAAGCGGATAGCCCATTTCGAGGCTCTTCTCGAGCACAGCCATGAAGACAATAGAGCTATTGGCCTCGAACGCAGAACGGTTGCGTCTGATTTCTCATGTGTTCTTTGCATTTGCCTAAAATTATTTAAAATGAAAATGGCAAAATTAAGGGTGTGTAGAAAATGTAGTGTTCTATTGATGCTTTCGGAGTTAGTACCCCAATAAATATGCATCTGTTGTAGACTCAAAATACAGTTAAGAAAGAAGCGTCTGTGTAGCAGCTACAACGGGATTAAATCATTCGGTGCGGTAATACCTTACGTGTTTGATATTTATGTAGACGTATGTACTTGAAATGGCTAGCCGATAATTCTGTGTGGAGTGAAAGACGTTTAAGACATTAGGTAGATCGTGCACCGTGCATCGTGCAGTCACGCTGTAAAGCTTCAAGTTGAAGTATTGGTTCCGTTCGCAGTATTTATTAAAATTTCGATCAACTAATACTCCACCGTATGGAAAGCCAGATTCAAATGAAACCGTTCGAAATTATTGTAACTTAAAGAAGAAGTTTAGTCGTAGTAAGACAAGTTATAGTTCCTGTATGCCATTTGAAAATAACGTTACGTGCTTATCCAATGAATGATCAGGTGTTGCCTACGCAAAACCGAAAGACACTCACGAAGCTTATTAGACAAAGCAGTATCAAGAAATTGGCAAATATGAATGTCAGATTTCAAATGCGGCCTAAAAGTTGGCTAGTCATAAATTGTACTTTAATTATCCTCTGTTGGATCTAAGGCAATGATATCTCTGAAAGGCTCAACCGTTCTCTCTATTTGAACCCTTAACAATATGGATTACGAACCTCAATACAGTTGAGTTCATCTAACTGTGGTGTAAGATATCTACCTATTTATCTGGCATACGTCATGACGTTGGATCATTTTTCCCATTATATACGTATGATTCCGTGCGGCCCATTATGTTTGGATATGCTTTCTAGCTTAACCGACATAGACTTCTATTATAATGACTGTTATAGCACCTTTTACATAATGAGTGTACGCGTGCATAGCTGAATGTTTCAGTCCCCGAATCTCTCCCGACTTGGCACCTGTTCTCCATATTTTGTCGATTCTCATCATCTCCCCTCAGCCTATGGTGCTATTCCAGTCCCATTGGCATGGAGTAGCGCCTTTCTCTAAATCGTTCCTATGTAGCTATTTGCGTCTCCTTGGCGTGACTCGTCCGTAGACCGGTATGTTTGGTGTCGACATCGTCGTCGTGGCCGTAAGGGGACGTGAGGCTCCGCCGCCGCCGCTCGCCCGGGGAGAGGGTCGCCGCTGTTTGGCCCCGCCTTCCGACGCACGCTGGCCTAACGCGCTGTCGCTGTCTCAGCCATAAGACCATTCAGTTGTCGTTAGATAGTAAGCGTGCTTCGACCGTGAAAGTGGTTTGGCGCACAGGGTGCTATAGTGCTTGTGTGATCTTCCATGGAATACATTTATCTAGCAGTCGGATACCCGTGTAACCTCCGCTACCACAATACTTACTACGACCGAATACGCGCTCCAGTCGCAAAATAGAACTAGTATATATTGGAGATACAGCGTACGTATATCGTACGGAAATTGGCTAAAGTTTCAAGCAAAAGGTTCGTTGTAGTTGTTGCTGCTGCTTTCAATTCTGCGCGCAACGTATCGCCGTTTTCAATAGCGGCAAAACGCCTTATCAACAATTCACTCAGATCGGAACTACATATTATATTAACCCTGTGATAGTATGTCACGTCCGTAACATCGCGCCTACCATAATTACGTACCGATGCAATAACATCGCCTGTCCTTCTCTGTGCATGTGTGTGCCCTTGTCGTGTTCACAGACTCCTCTAAGCTGGCGCCACCCGCGCACCGGCGCAAACACCAACGACCTCAGCACGTCAGTACGACGCTCGGCGCACCTAGCAGCCAGAAAAACAGTATCAAGTCGGAACGCCTGACCCCGGAAGAGTCGGCCTCAGTCGTCAATACGCGGCCAGGCACCACTAGTCCGGTTAGTCCACACAGCACAACAGCCGTGCACTCCACTATGCCGCCGGGCTTCTCCGCCGGCATCGGATTCATGCTCGGCCTGCAGCAGGGTCCACTTGGTGGGCCGTTAGGTCCGTTAGGCCAGATGGGCCACCTCAGCCCAGTGGCCACAAGCCCCGGAACGACACCTTCAGCACCAACCGCCTTTAACCCTGCGCAGCTGAAGCACATGGAAATGGTGATGAGCAGTAATAGCAGCAGGGACTATTCGAAGTACCTGCGATCTCTTGCCGCTAAGTATAACAGCAATAATCCCTTAAACGAAAGGTATGTAACCAATGCTTATTATACAGATACATACATACGTGTTTCTATAGATGAGTGGATAGGTTTCATCCACAGCGAAATTCCATTGATTAATTACCAAATACGCAATTTTACGTTGGGGCGTCAGGTAGTGCCTATTTATCGTACAAAATGCATGTGGAAAGATAGTCTGGCACGATAATCTACTTCCTCTGATCTTGTCATTCTCAAGACTTCTTTTGCACCTCTGAGCCGATTCCCAATTGAGAGTGTTCTCCTCGTTCGGACAACCCTGTGGGGTTCGTCATCGCCATACCAACATTGTTTGGCCTTGTCACAACCCATTTTTATTTCGAGAATGTAACTAATTTCTGATTGAAAATAACGCTATTAGGGTGGGGCAGCCGGTAGTTTTTCCGGGTAGCTCAGCTTATATGTATGTACGTACAAACTTCGCTTTCTCCTACTAGCGGTCCATGTTTCTATTATTGTCAGCCTTTCAAACTCGGCTGCAATTAGCCAAAAAAGGAGAGTCGTAACCCGTACCACAGTCTACTGTCGGACCGTTAATCACTAGCAGGTTGGTGGGAGGACCTCATTCTTCCGCCTCTTCAGCAGCGGCGGCAGCGTCTTCACGCACTTCCTTTGTTTCACTAAAGTTGAGGGAAATGTCAGCCCCTACGATCGTCATGCCTCCGGTTCACCTGTGCGTTAACGTGTGTGTGTGTGTGTGTGTGTGTGTGTGTGTGTGTGTGTGTGTGTGTGTGTGTGTGTGTGTGTGTGTGTGTGTGTGTGTGTGTGTGTGTGTGTGTGTGTGTGTGTGTGTGTGTGTGTGTGTGTGTGTGTGTGTGTGTGTGTGTGTGTGTGGGGGTGTGTACGTTATCGCTGAGCACCGCTCCCTTTCCTTTCGTCGTCTTTAAGAGGCAGACACCTACTGATTGTTGCCTGATGATTGCTGCTGCTGCAGCTTATGGCGGCAGTGATGTCGCCCGGGGAGAGGGTCGCCGCTGTTTGGCCCCGCCTTCCGACGCACGCTGGCCTAACGCGCTGTCGCTGTCTCAGCCATAAGACCATTCAGTTGTCGTTAGATAGTAAGCGTGCTTCGACCGTGAAAGTGGTTTGGCGCACAGGGTGCTATAGTGCTTGTGTGATCTTCCATGGAATACATTTATCTAGCAGTCGGATACCCGTGTAACCTCCGCTACCACAATACTTACTACGACCGAATACGCGCTCCAGTCGCAAAATAGAACTAGTATATATTGGAGATACAGCGTACGTATATCGTACGGAAATTGGCTAAAGTTTCAAGCAAAAGGTTCGTTGTAGTTGTTGCTGCTGCTTTCAATTCTGCGCGCAACGTATCGCCGTTTTCAATAGCGGCAAAACGCCTTATCAACAATTCACTCAGATCGGAACTACATATTATATTAACCCTGTGATAGTATGTCACGTCCGTAACATCGCGCCTACCATAATTACGTACCGATGCAATAACATCGCCTGTCCTTCTCTGTGCATGTGTGTGCCCTTGTCGTGTTCACAGACTCCTCTAAGCTGGCGCCACCCGCGCACCGGCGCAAACACCAACGACCTCAGCACGTCAGTACGACGCTCGGCGCACCTAGCAGCCAGAAAAACAGTATCAAGTCGGAACGCCTGACCCCGGAAGAGTCGGCCTCAGTCGTCAATACGCGGCCAGGCACCACTAGTCCGGTTAGTCCACACAGCACAACAGCCGTGCACTCCACTATGCCGCCGGGCTTCTCCGCCGGCATCGGATTCATGCTCGGCCTGCAGCAGGGTCCACTTGGTGGGCCGTTAGGTCCGTTAGGCCAGATGGGCCACCTCAGCCCAGTGGCCACAAGCCCCGGAACGACACCTTCAGCACCAACCGCCTTTAACCCTGCGCAGCTGAAGCACATGGAAATGGTGATGAGCAGTAATAGCAGCAGGGACTATTCGAAGTACCTGCGATCTCTTGCCGCTAAGTATAACAGCAATAATCCCTTAAACGAAAGGTATGTAACCAATGCTTATTATACAGATACATACATACGTGTTTCTATAGATGAGTGGATAGGTTTCATCCACAGCGAAATTCCATTGATTAATTACCAAATACGCAATTTTACGTTGGGGCGTCAGGTAGTGCCTATTTATCGTACAAAATGCATGTGGAAAGATAGTCTGGCACGATAATCTACTTCCTCTGATCTTGTCATTCTCAAGACTTCTTTTGCACCTCTGAGCCGATTCCCAATTGAGAGTGTTCTCCTCGTTCGGACAACCCTGTGGGGTTCGTCATCGCCATACCAACATTGTTTGGCCTTGTCACAACCCATTTTTATTTCGAGAATGTAACTAATTTCTGATTGAAAATAACGCTATTAGGGTGGGGCAGCCGGTAGTTTTTCCGGGTAGCTCAGCTTATATGTATGTACGTACAAACTTCGCTTTCTCCTACTAGCGGTCCATGTTTCTATTATTGTCAGCCTTTCAAACTCGGCTGCAATTAGCCAAAAAAGGAGAGTCGTAACCCGTACCACAGTCTACTGTCGGACCGTTAATCACTAGCAGGTTGGTGGGAGGACCTCATTCTTCCGCCTCTTCAGCAGCGGCGGCAGCGTCTTCACGCACTTCCTTTGTTTCACTAAAGTTGAGGGAAATGTCAGCCCCTACGATCGTCATGCCTCCGGTTCACCTGTGCGTTAACGTGTGTGTGTGTGTGTGTGTGTGTGTGTGTGTGTGTGTGTGTGTGTGTGTGTGTGTGTGTGTGTGTGTGTGTGTGTGTGTGTGTGTGTGTGTGTGTGTGTGTGTGTGTGTGTGTGTGTGTGTGTGTGTGTGTGTGTGTGTGTGTGTGTGTGTGTGTGTGTGTGTGTGTGTGTGTGTGTGTGTGTGTGTGTGTGTGTGTGTGTGTGTGTGTGTGTGTGTGTGTGTGTGTGTGTGTGTGTGTGTGTGTGTGTGTGTGTGTGTGTGTGTGTGTGTGTGTGTGTGTGTGTGTGT